GCGCGCGCCTGCCGAGCGGGCGTCAGGCTGTGACCAGCATGTGCATCATTGTGCGCGTGACTGGTGCTGCCCATCTTGGTATTCTTTCAGGACTCCATGTCGTTGGAACAAGTCTTGCCAGCCCCGGGAGGACCTTTGACACATGTGGTGAGGACGTGGTATGTGTTGTTTTTGTCATGCATGCAAGTAGCCTGTTGTAATAGTTGGGTTTAGGTTGTAGATGGTTCTCCGGTTACACAAGTGGGAATTGTGATGGATTCAAGTCTTCAACAACAATGATGATACATATTAGAACTGTATACGTGCCTACACTTACAACTTGGGAGAGAGTGGTTTTCGCTCGCCGCTTCCTTTGACAATCTCATCATCCTTGTAGTCTGGGTTAAACACAATGTCGTTGAGCGGATTTAGCCTGTGCGCTCGGTTAAAGAGATCCTCGTATACATTTCCATCATAGCGGCCAAGCGCGCTGCAACGAGTTAGTCCCCGCATCGATCTGCGTCGCAGAGAAGAAAAAAAAAAAAGGCCTGCTTACCTGTCCAGAAGATAGTCCGGAATCTTCCAGGCGTCGACGAGCTTGACGGCGTGCGGGCGGATGCGTGTAAGCAGGGCCTGTATTCTCTCGGGAAGCGCATCGAGATCTTTGGAGGATGCCGCGCCGCAGCGGAGGACTGGGCCATGGTCAGTAGGCTGGCTGTCTTTGCCCGACGGTATTGGACAACTCACATTCGTAGCTCTCGGCTTGAATGGTGGTGTAGGCAAACAGCCTGTAAAGGTCAAACACTATTTCCTTTGTCTCGTGGGCAAGGTCGTTGGAGGAAGTGAGTGTTGTTAAAAATGAAGAGACCATGATGGATTGCGAGTGCGCTGTTTATACGTCAGTACACCTCAAAATGCGTACAATGCAGTCGAGTAATCATACCGTGACTGAGCTTGTGAAACTGAATCAGCAAGTCGTTGTGTCTCTTTTTCTTGATGACTCGCGCCTCGTAGGCATCATATGTCTGTATGAATCAGTACTCGTGACTGGCAAACTGCGTCCCGGAGATCATACCATGGAAGCCGCTCGCCACTTGAAGCTCTCTTCGATATCGGAGTCGCTGTTGAGAATATCAAACGTCCTGCCCTTGTCTTTCTGATGGAGAAACGTCTTCAACTGCGCGTCTATCTGGTCCTTGGGCGGCTCATTCCGAGTCTTGGCCGCCGCCGTCATTCTCTTGATCAAAAACGACGACGTCTGCTGCGTAATCATCCAGTTGTCGCCTTCAAGAATGGGCTTTGCCTGATAATCCTTTTGCATCTCCACCAGCCCGCTGCCGCTGCCGTAGCCGTGCCCGCCCATTGCTCTGCGGCACGTTTCGATGCCGGCATTCGTAATCTCCGTGCTCAGGCTCTTGAGCCCAGACGAGTTGCTGTGCATGACGGCAAGGCCCTCGAGGTTGCCCTTTTCGACCTCGCCGCGCGTCTTGGCGTAGTCCTGGCGCATGACTTTGCCCGTGTACTGGAGGGCAAAAGCAGCAGCTAGCAAAGGAAACAGACGGACCTGCACTGTGGGATAGTCTAGGACCTGCAGCTCAGCGCTGCTTGGGTCCTGGGAGTCCTTGTCTCTGAATTGCTGGCGAATGGCGGTATATCGTATGGCAATGGTGACGGCGCGTGCTAGATGGGTGCCGGCTTCTTCAACGAGCATAGTCCTGATGGACGTCATTGTTCCGTAGGCCAGAGCCGGATTTGGAGACTTGGAAAAGACGCCCGTTTCTGGGTCCAGCTGAACATAACGCGAGAGCAGTGCCGAGTGTGGAATTCTACATGCCATGTAAGTCGAGTGATGGCTTGTCTTTTGAGACGATTCCTTACCTGAACTGGTTGAAGAGCATGTAGCCATTATCCATTGACGTGAAGCCAATCTTGACGCCAATATCGCCGATGACGACACCCTCGAGTGGCAAATTCGTCTTGAGGTCTCGAATCTGCGCAATAAACGCCTGCGGCCCATGCGATATATACTGGCCCTCCCGCTTGGGATCCGGCACCATCAGCTGCGCCATCAAGATTGCATGATTCGCCGTCCTGCCCAGCGACCCGTTCCACCACTTGGCCGCCGTCAGCGTCGGGCTGTGCACCACAAACTCCCTGGCGGCCGGGTCCCAGCGCGCCTCGAGCTCGACGCCGCGCACGTTGCTGCCGTGGCCGAGCTCCGTCTGCGAGTAGGCGCCAGACACCTCCCAGCCGTTGACGCGGGGCATCCAGTACGCCCGCTGCGCGTCGCTCGACTGCTCCTCGACCGTGGTCCTGAACATGCCCACGTGCAGCCGGTACGGGCTCTGCTCGCCCACGAGGTACGCCGCCATGTGGTAGTCGTCCATGTCCCAGCCGTGCCGGTCCTGCAGCCGCCGCATCAGCTTGCCGCGGGCGAGGCCGAGCTTGACGCGCTCCACGCGGGACAGCTGCTGCTGGCGCGACTTGTCGAACAAGGGCTCCTGCTCAATGGCGCGGAGCACGCGCGCCTGGCGCTCGAGGAAGCTCGTGCCCGCAAAGATGTGCTTGCCCAGCGCATCGACGTCGACGGGCGATTGCCGACGCTCCTTTTCCAGGAGCGATGAGCCGCTGGGCTCCTTGGGCTTGAGGTTATCCGGAAACGACATTTGGTGTCGGTTTTGGCGCGCAGCGATTAATCGGGAGCTCGTCGGCATAAAGATTAGCAGATGCCAAGAGCGGTTGAATATCAGAGGCGAGGGGATGGCGATAGGTTTATAAGAGGAGATGGAGATTGGTTGCGTGGGATGAAACGGCGACTCATACGGTGGTCGCCGGCGCTACAAGTCGCCATCTACATTCTGGTGTGACGCCAAAGCCGGCGCCTTTGCCGAGGCACGGAGCGGGCGACTAGAAACCCCGCGGAGGTACCAACAGTGTGCAGAATATCAATCAAATCCGCCAAGTATCACGTAAAGATCCCCTTACGGTTTTATCAGTACGGGAATATATACATCACGAAAATGAACAGATTCACCGCATTTCGAACGGTGGACGGTTTTCGAGCGCGGACAGCCCGGAGTGGATGACGTAGCCACGCACTTACACCACCACGGCGGGCATATTTCGACTTATAGGAAGAGGCTCTGGCCGAAGCTGATTCAAAATACCAGGTTTTGCAATGAAAATCACGATTAAAAAAATACGAATAGAAAAATACGAATATAGCACCTCCAGAGCCCCTTCCTATGAGTTCAACTGATGATGAACACACTCTTGACACTCACTTTGAACTGCTCTTTGTTTGTCGAATACCTCCATTAAGCATTAGGGATACCCTCAGCTTTTCCACTGTGAAAAAAACTCCACCTGCGTGGTGCAGGCGCCCTTGGCTCCGAATGCAGACTGCTGGCAGCGTGGTTTCCTGTCGGAGTGTCAGACACGGCGTAGAAATGACGTGTGGTACGCAGAGGAAAGATGGGATGAACAAGCTGAATGGTGATGCGAATATGCTTTGGCAATCAGTAAGCTGACTTGAGTATTTACCTCGTTATAAAGATCGGTATGATACAAAATTGCTCGCAAAGTGTGCGAATATCGCCGGACGGGCGGTGTCTCGCCTTGGCAAGAAAAACTGTATCACGACAAACACTATTGGTTTATTGAAGCTCATAAATACCATGAAAACAATTGCTAGCTGTCACTGTGATGTTCTCTGAGAAAGTCTAAGCTTAATTACATCATGGGTTTATTGAAAGCTTCATTGCTTCCTCATGACGTTACCATTGAAAAGCTCATAGTAAACCGAGTTTCCTAATCAAAGTAGCTCAAGGTTCCAACTCTTTCGGACTGGCCGTTGTATGCAAGTATCTAACCGCTCTTCTATCCAATATTATCTAACCGCTTCTCTATCCAATATTATCAAGCCCCGCCATTATGTGCTTGCATGGCCCACGTAAAGTCTGGCTAGTACCTTATTATGGTCAACGTAAAGTCTGGCCAGTACCTTAACACTCCATCCTCATCAAGCCCCCAGATAGCGCATTTGCCAATAAAACCCAATTTTGCGCTCTTTCCTTTTACCTCTCACGAGAAGTTTCAGATCGATCGTCGCGTTGCGCTCCTCCACCGCAAGCCACACGCAGCACGCGCCGCCTGAAAGGGCGCCAGGACGGCGTAGACACGGGCGCAATTCGCAGGCTTGATGGAACCGTGGTCTTGTGTCAAAAGCAAGTGCTACAATTGGGAATCTGATCTGCGTTGTATTTTTGAGTAGATGTCTACTTGAGGAGTTGTGGTGAATTCGTCTTGTTTGCGCACACCCTCGTTCCTGTGGTTCACCATCTACGGCGAGACACTTGACACGTCTTGAATGACAAAATGGCTTGAGGCCACTTAGTTTATAGAATTGGCTGTAATAAGTGTATATTTGATGAAGCCAGCGCAATTGCGGTGCTTGTCATTGAGCAAATTGCGACGATCATCTTTTCTCGGCCTGTGATACGCCTTGAACCAGTGCGGCGAACTGGGTACCGCGACATTGGTGAGAGGAATGTGAGCTTTATCCACCTGCCTGACCTAATGTGCCATTCATCCACGCCAATTATGCCAGATTTTCATAGCCAGAGTGATAGAGTCGATTCGAAAGAGCCGCAGCTAGGAATTCTTGTCGAGACACATGCGTGTATAGGTTAGGTGAGGCGGCGAGGACGTGATTTCCTGCACAAGCCCCCCAAGCGCAGCAGCCTGACTCGAATCGGATGAATCCATTCAAGTTAAACTTCTTTATCAAAGCACGTTTTTAATCGATTGGTATATTAACCATTGTACTTGCTTTGCACGAAACCCACGTGGATCTCATGCAGAATGCTAGCCAGCCTTGACCAGCTCTCTTTACCACCATACGCCTATCGTCACGAGCTCAAAACCCTTTATAGACCTTATTTAGAACCACCACCCCGCCGCGATACTCTTAATCAAGCCACAATAAAAAAAACCCGCCGGGCGTCTGCCACGGGCGAGATTTCGGGACGTCCGGGCCCCACTTTATACATCTCACCTCAGCAGTTGTCGACTTTTTGCCCAAGGTGGAATTTCTCGCACTGCTTGCCAATTTTTGTAAAAACAGCCTGGAGAAATACATGTGCATATCACCTAGAGCTACATATGCCTTTGTTCGGGATTGTGGGTACAGCACAACCATGTGATGCAAGCTGGTACTGTGACGACACTGCTTGATCGGGAAACAATTTAAATTTAGGGCTGCTGGGGAACCTGCGTGGCGGAGATCTGGGGTCAAATGTCTCACTGCTATCCGTCACCGATGCATCGGTCCCGAGTCTTGATGATCGAATCTATATAGCAAAATGTTGGCTGGTGCGGGGCCAACTATAAGCAAGCACCATGCTATGTACTTTTCGTAGCAAATTTATATACACATGATCGCGAGACAATCAAATTATGAGCGGGAAATAAGAAACGCCATGCGAAATGGTCTAATGCGGACCTCCGAAGAACATGCCCAGATCGACAACCGTGGGATGATGTGCAAGTTTTATGCTTGGCAGCGTAAAAGAAGGAAAAAAACAAGCTGGGTGTTCAATGCAGCAAAAACGTTTACGCCATCAAGAAGCGCAAGACGGCGAACAGGGTCACGAGACTCAGGACGACCCAGATGAAAAGGCGAACCAGAACATTGTACGTCTGCGCCCAGTTACGGGCCTTGGAACGTGCAACAAAGTTGACGTTGTCGTTGACATTGGGAAACGGCGTCTCCTTGGGCACGGCCACGTCGAGAAACTCGCAAAGCGGCCCCCAGCCGTCGGTGACACGGAACTCGAGCAAATTCTCCTTGGGTACGAGGCTGCGCACCTCGGCGTAATGGCGCTCAAAAATTGCCTTGCCGCGATTGGGAAAGTCACCCTCGAAGAAGGTGTCAAAGAACTTCTTGAGCATTGGGTAGTACTGGCCGGCTGCCCAGTCAAAGTAGGAGAGCCAGCGAAGATGCCGGTCGGTCACGCGCCAGTAAACCGTCTTCATCGTCGAGGCGTGCCACGAGTGCACATCGCGGTTTGTGAGGACAACCTTGGCCTCCGGGTAGGCCTCGATGAGTTCCTTGGCAAAGGCGATGCTGGGCCAGTCACAGACGGCCTGGCAGTGACCGAGAAGCTGATCCCACTCGGCGCGTGTGAATTTGGGCCCCTTCCCGTCGTATTTAGCTGTCAAGGCGTCCATCCACATGAGAGCGTCTGAGGGATTCTCAATGGAGCAATTCATCATGTGGTAGGTGTCAACGTAACCGAGTCGCTTCATGGCGGCGCGCATAGCTGGCATATTATTAGTTGGACTGTTCAAGATTCAGTAACAATTACATACAAGCAGTACCGGTTCGTCCTAGTCCCAGGATGAGGACTCTCATGGGCACGATGCGCCGGCAGTTTTGACGGTTGATATCAGTGTCATTGGTAAAGATGTCGGTGGACGGCCGAGGTTTGTACTGGGCCGAAAAGGACATTGCGACTGATGTTGACGGCGAGCCGTGTTGACTCTGACGGGCTCAATATTGTGTGTGGCGGACACAGGCGAGAAGTGCGCGCCTTTGGTCGTGGCTTTGAGCGATGCAAAGGACAATGCAATAGCAACGTCACAATTGCAGATAATATGCAGGAACAAAGTATATCGTGCTCTGCAGGGTGACTCGTCTCAGGTGAACAGTTAAATACAAATGGGCAGGACAGATGGGATGTTACGCGGCAGCAAGGTCCAAGACAGGCAGGGCCAATTGTTGAGAGGAAGAGATGAAAACGAGTGAAACGCCCAGCCAGGAGAGAAAATAATCGGAGAAGCAAAAGCAATGTCGAGGTCCGAGTCAAGGAGGCAACAAGGAAGGGGGGGTCTGTGGATAATAAAGCTTTGGAGCTTGGCTGATGGTCAAGGAACGGCGGGCAACGGTCTAACACGTTAGACTGGAAGAGGACGATCCCGGGAGCCATGACCGAAACCTTTGCCTTCTTTGGCCGTCGCTACGAGGCCCCAGGAGATGTCCCGGCGGCGCCAGGGACCAGGTCAGGACTCAGGACGAGTGTCGACCAGCGCGCAAGCGGGACATGCGGGTGCACCAAAGCACCTACAGTGCCAAAAAGTATGGAGTCATTCGGTACTTGATGCTAACCCAAGAACCACAGGCGACCCACTAACCATGGCGTTTTATTTGGATTTTGGCGTGCAAGCGTGGAGTGCTCGTAGTGATGGTGTGGTGGACCTAAAGTGAGCTTGAGCTTGAACCAATATGGCGCCGTGCCGTGATGGCCAGTTGTCGCGTAAAGCCAGGCGAGGGAGAGCAGGAGAAAGGATGACGACGGATAATGTAGGCCGATTGTTTGAGCGCGCATAATGGCGCATCCGTGTTGTACTGTCGCCTACTTTATTCTTCTATTTCTGCGTTACTGTCGTGTTGCACAACAGCGGAGGAGGGCGGCCTGCATTGGATGTTGCATATAAGGTTGATGGCTGTGCACGGCGAGCCCGCCGGTCCGGTTGCTCGCTTGTCGTAGGCGATTGGCATGGTGCACTGCGTCACGGTTGTCGCAGGTCCCCGACGACTCTGTCCATGCGTTGAGGCGTTGAGAAGCCAGGGCCAGCGGCGCAAAGTATTTATTGATTAACAGGCGTTTTATTTGCCATGGTCTGGGGCCGCGGAACCTGCATCTAGGTGTTGTGGGCGTTGATGAATGCGGTCCTGGAGCTGGAAGATTGGTAATGAGTAATAGGTAGGCTCATAATTCGAGTTGCAAAGAAAAAATCATGAGTGTGGACTGAAAGAAAACGGGGTGCAGGCGGTAGCGCCGCGGATCTCTACTTACATGCGAAGCCAAGCAAGGACGGCCATGCTTCTGTGGAACCTGGTGTGCGACAGGGCGACTCGATGCGGACCCTCGGGGGTTTGGGGTAAATAGCAAAGATTGTGTGAAGATGAAACTGGAGAGAGTTGGTGGAGATGCCTTACATGGTTGGAGACGAAGAATTTTGGTGATGCAGTTGGCCAGCTGACAGACGTGCGTTTGCATGAAGTCGTTCGCTGTTGCCAGCTGGCAGCTGGCAGCCTAGGTACCTACCTATCCTACTGGCTAGGTAGGTACCGTACCTACCTACCCTTGGCCTGTCTACGAACCAAGGGCATTTTTAGGTAATGGGGTAAAGTGTGCTGAGTGTACAGTAAGGTAGTCAACTAATAGTGGCGATACAATGGAAATGGTGGAGTTATAGTGAGGCTATAGCGGGGCACGCCTAAAGAATTGGGTGGTACTGTAGCGCTGATAGACGCACTTGCAGGGTTCTGATTGAATTTTTACAGCCTTCAACCTACGACGGTACGTACCTGCGCTGACCTGTGTAGTGAGGCAGGCATCAGGTAACAGCAATGAGTCAGGCTTCATCATCACACTAACTACTTCACCACCATCTCCCTCACGACCAGCATCATCTCGACCTACTAAAAGCCTGCTCACACACCCACAGACCGAACCCGCTACTGCATGCTGCGTCACGCATCGGCTCCGACCGTTTCACCGTATCTTGCGCCAACCATGACTATGGACAGGTATTACTGTTCTTTACACCACATGGTCCAGCTCAAGTGCCGAAGACGCTCGGGTTGTAGCTGTGCAGACTTTTTATTGATATCCTCCCAGGCATCCACCATCAAAATTTCCGATGCCGCTTATCCATGCGGTCTTGGCGGTGACAAGTAACAACTAGACGACTGAAAAGTTGGACAGTTTTGCTGGCCTCGAGGAGCTAATAGCACGGAGTTCTCCGGATGAACCTGTCAACGTCTAGCAGCCATCCACGCCACTGGTCGTGGCGCTGGTCCATTAGAGCAAAACTCTATTATCCGACATCTCCGCTGCCTCGGCCGCTATCACGCCCAAACAATTATTAAAGTTGTTGCCATCATGGCTGTACGTCCAATAGCACAGTCGTCCGTCATCTGTTTCGATTCCGCAATCGTTATTGCCCGTGCGCCTCCGAACCCGCACGACCTCTTCATCTCTAAATGGTACTTCATCGACAATTGTATATCGAACTGTGGCTCTTGCCCAGTCCGTCGTGGTCCCACCAATATGCACTGCAACACTGCTGCCCGTCGCCGTTGAACAAGGCAAAACTCTATTTTTTGATTCCCACGTGCGGTTAGATGACTCGCAGGCCTGCAGTGCAGAGAGTTAACTCTTCTAGAAAAGAATTATCGAGTCCCATATCAACATGGGCATACACAAGACCCTGTTTCCCCACGGACATGTCCCCGCGACTTTTGACCAAGGACGTTTTCGAACAGTCTTTCCAAAGGATTAAGTTGGCCGAGAGCTAGCGTGGGCTGAAATGGTGTCGGCCGCAAAGCCTCTGGAAACCGCCACACATCGGCGGCTCACCAAGCCAAGCTTCTCAATCTAAGCACCGAAATTTTGAATCCTGCCACTATTATCATGCAGCTAGAATTGAGACTGCTTGCTTGGACTCCTCATCCTTGGCGGCATCCGCGCTGGCTTCCTATTCCACGCAAGGAGCCATCAGCCGGGCACACTGCTATTAAGCATCTCCCTTTCCATGCTACGGGTTCGGAGGACATTCGGGATGCTTCAAATTAAAAATTGGCTCCATAGTCAAGGTCTGACAGTCTAGCATTCTCACCAAGCGGTATTACATCAGCTCGGCCTGCGACCTTATCCAGCCAGCCCTATCGTGTCAACATGGGCTGAAATGCGTGTTATGGTGCTCAAGGTAAAGCCACGAACCAGGCGAATTATCTGTAAATATCCAAGGCAAGTATTACATGCACCACTCCGCTCACGGTCTCGACAACCTTGTACCCTTGTTCCGACCATGTTTCGCGCCTCTTGATCCGACTTGCATCGCCCTGCAGTATCTACGGTGAGTCGGTGACACCAGCCTGCGGTAGCCACCATGCATGATGATGAGCAGGCGTGGTTCTAGTATTCCTACTGTTTTGCTGACACAAGCTTCCACAGAGTTTCTCAACAACAATTGTTTCTACTTTATTTGTAACCATCTTGAAGAGTAAAACATTAACAAGATCGACGTCCACAGCTTGTAATCGTCGACGTTGCCTCACAATCAGTCCACCAGACATGTATGGGACAGTCCCTGAGACGGGCAATGCAGCGGGCCACGCGTCGGAAATGATTTGCACGCACAGTTTTCGCTGACTATCAAGCACAGTGGCAGATAATGCAGCATGCACTTTTGCAATCAATTGTGTGGGAAATTTTATTGCCGTGGAATATTAAAGAAACGATACATCGCCCGTCGCATCAGCCTCGAAGACGGACGCACAGTGACGTCTGTCGGAGCAATGCATTTGCGCGATTACTCGCTCCCATTCCCTATATCCTAGGGGTCACAAGTACATGCTGAGGCTGCACTAGGCTGTGCCTGGCTCAGCTTTTGCGCCATTGACGGCATGATACTACAGGTTTGTTTGTCAAATGACCACGACTTGGATCTGGTGCGAAATCTCCTCGGCCGCACCACATCTTTGGGTGTGAAGCATCTTTGTGTGCGAAGCTATTCGGCCGGTGTTAGTAATGCTTGGAAGCGGAAGCCACCCTTCAACGTGAGGAAACTCGAAAGACAATCTCGAATACACGAGACAAACGAACACTGCTCCATGGATATGTGAAACCCTGTCTTGTCGAGCCGAAAATGTGCGGGCATCTCGAACCAGATGACAAGATGCCACCGATATCTTCCTGGCCGTGGCGGACACCCCCCTTCGGCGTAATAATACTGGATTGGAACGCCACATCGGAATTATGAGTGGGTTTATCTGTGTGCGACACGGCTTCCGATTTGATGCGCCCTGTAGCAGGGTCTCGAGCCAGGGCGGGAGACGAACTGTTCTCAGAGCCATTCTCAGCAGACAAGAAGAGTCTATCCAGGAATCCAAGTTGGCCGATTGCGTCTGCCTTGTATGCTTGTCAGCAGCGACGCTGACCGAGATAATGCAGTAGGTGCCCGCCCAGTCGAGAGCCGGTTGAATCACGGCTTGTCAGGAGAGCGCCACTCACCTCTGGTTCATGCACATGTAGTAATAGACAGCTCAGCAGGACCAAATGCAGAAGAAAGCCACCGAACAGGCTGAACGCCACCGCGGAAAGAATATGTACATTTTTTCTAGAAACAGGTACCGTCTCTCGTTGGCACCCTTCATCATATCTGTTGACCGACAAAGGACAAGGATGCAGGCACCTGCCAACAAGAGTCTGTGATCAGCATTTGCTTGAAACTCGTGTTTGGTCTCCTGTTTTTTTTTTCTTCTCCGCTGACCATGAACAGTCTCGCTAAAAGCACCCCAGTTTGGTATTTTCAGCCGTGACTGCGACTGTGTGGGTTGGACTGTGTACTGATACGGTGCACCACATTGCTTTGCTCTGTTTCGTAGGCCCACCACCTACCTACTGTACAGCACATCTAGGCCGTCGTTAGCTGCCGATTCCCAAATTCTTGGGCTGGCATACCTACGCAAGACGATGCATGATGCACTGAAGAAGGCGAGTATGCGCCGCTGGCATTGTTACCTGCCCATGTGGGCAGCTGTGTCCCACCTCAGCTCGCACAATGGTGATGTTCGTCAGCGTCCTTGGATGATGGGTAGAGGCGTACAGTACGAACGGACACTATGAGGGGGCCGCTACACGAGACATGTTTTGAGCGAATTTGGAGAACAAGCCACACCGGAATTCGCCAACGTTTGGCCGCTGAAATCGAAAGAAGGCCGAGTTGGGCGGCGCAGCACTGGCAGCACTGGTATGCTTCCTGACTCGCCCACCCAGGGCTTTCGAGCTGAGAATAGGGACCGTGCAATCTTTGACGATTTCCGGTCTATCCTTTTTTTTTTTTTAATTATTTTTTTTTTAACACTGCGTCCATTTCCAAGGTAACCCTACGGGTTCTCCTATTACTGCAGAGCAACGGCCATCGAAGCTCTCTTTATTTGAGCTTCTATCCTACGCATATCGAGCGCAGGTGCGCAAGATGATAGCAAATACATTGCCATCACTTTTCCCTTTTCTCTTTGTTCTTTTCTCGTTGCATTGGTCCGCGGCTGTGTCATATGTACACCCTCATTTGCGAGAACCGCGCCGAAGACCGCCCTCTCAGTTCATTAGGCCGTCTCGGCGGGTTTTTGCTCCTCTACAACTCGAACGACAAATCGGTGCACCACTGAGCGAGCAATCCAGCAAGCGTCTTGGTACGCCCAGCACTTACACTTAATAACTATGGAGCTGGGAGCTTGGCTCGGTATATGCATGTAGCGCCAGGGTGGGTGACGGATCCCTGCCTGGGCCTTGGGAACCACTGTATGCAGCTTTTTTTATCGACATGATTGATGGATGATGCAGCCACTGACTTGAGTGTGGCCTGTGTGTCTTCCCGAATCTGGCCCGGCGTCTTGGCTGCCAGAAGCGGCCGCCCAAAGATTCATGGAGGACTAAGGAAGCGGGATGAGAACTCCACAGGGACAGTGCGCCGAGGGCTCTTTACGAGGTTAGGCTAATACAGCCCCCCTGGTAATTCCTATTTCCAGCCTGTGGTTCCGAGTTTGAATTGTCTCTTGGGTGAAACAGATGCATAGAGCGTCTTACTTCACCAAACTAGTTAGTTACTTACCAACTAGGGCTGGGACAAGTCAACAGTGACGTGTTGCCGTTGTATCACCTTGATCCGCAACCCACAACAACCTGTTGGCACATGCTGCCGGCTCTTCGGATCACTTTACTCGAAATCTAGTGATCGAATTCGAGCTAATCTTGTTGTTTCATGTTTTTCTTGTATCTCTTTTCTCGGTTCCTTTTTTGATTTGTGATCTGTCAGACGCTTCATGGTTTGAGAATTTTTTTTTTTTCTGATCCTCGCCCTGCTCTAGGAGCAGCGCGGCGCCCACACTAACAACTGGAGACTTGGGGGCAAAACTCTCTTATCAGTCTGCTGCTGCAATTGCGCTTGTTTCTCGAATCCAGTTCTCGAATCTTTTGCAGTGACACCCCCTCCCTCGACATCATGTCTCGAATCACAACAGAAGAAAATGATGATGAAAAAAAGCAGCCGCCACCGTCAAAGCCGGGCCCGGTGTCGTGGCTTTCGCTGCCGCGCAAGGATCAGCTACTCATTCTCTTTCTCTGCCGGCTCGTCGACTTTTTGCAGGTCGCCTCAATGCAAGCCTACGTCTTTTATCAGCTCAAGCACATGGACGACTCGCTGTCAGATGCCCGCATTTCGACGCAGGCGGGCCTGCTGCAGGCGTGCTTCACGGGCGCTCAGGTCATGACAGCGATGCTTTGGGGCAAGGCCGCCGACGCGCACTGGTGCGGTCGCAAATGGGTTGTTGTTATCGGGTTGGCCGGAACAGCGATGAGCTGTCTAGGCTACGGATTCGCGACGACCTTGTTTTGGGCGGCGTTTTGGAGAGCCTTTGGCGGCGCTGTAAATGGCACCGTGGGAGTCATGTAAGATGCGCGCGACGTTGTGGACGCTACTCCAAGGTGCTAGGCTAACCAAGATACTGCAGTCGCACCATGATTTCCGAAATTATCAAGGAAAAGAAATACCAGTCGCGCGCTTTCCTTATTCTTCCCATGAGCTTCAACATTGCTGGTATCTTGGGTCCATGTATGTGTTGCCAGATTACCTGTTCTGTTCCTACAACTCTTTTTGCGACTAACAACGGGACGCAAGTCTTTGGCGGCATGCTCGCCTCGGCCAGCACAACGTTACCCGGCATCTTTGCGCCTGGCGCGATTCTCGGGTTTCGCTGGATACAGAAGTATCCGTTTGCGCTGCCGAGTCTCATGAATGTGTTTGCGCTTTCTCTCGTCACAGCCATTGTGACGCTCTTTCTTGAAGAGGTGAGCCTTTCCATCATCATATCATCATCATGTAACCTGTTTTGCTTCTGTTTTCGACGTTGCAACTAAAACATGGCATTAGACGTCACCCTCGAGACGACATCTCCACGACCCGAGCCTTGCTGTTGGCCAACGCATCAAGCAGATTCTGTTTGGAACAAAACCCAATGCTGGCTACTCGCGCCTCACCACTGGCGAATCATGCGCCCTCGAAGAAGAAAATACCGACACTGACAAGGAGGCGTTTACACTACAGCCGGCACTGCAACGTCGCACAACAACACGTCGTCGTCTCCCCTTGTCACGTATCTGGACCTCGAATGTCATATTCACGCTCATCACCACCGCCTTTTACGACTTTCACCTCGGCGCCTTTGGCAACATTTGGTCGCTGTTCCTCTCCACGCCGCGCTACCTCTCAGACGACCCCTCGGCGGCGGCGGCAGCACCACCACCACCTGCGGCCTCGTCGCTCCAGAAACGCAGCCTCCCGCTGCTCTTTACCGGCGGGCTGGGCATGCCGGCGCAGACCGTTGGCCTCGCCACCTCGTTTCTCGGCGTGATTGGCATGTGCCTGCAGCTGACGCTGTATCCGCCCGTGCACGCGCGCCTCGGCACCACGCGGTCGTTTCGCTGGTTCCTGTTCCTCTTCCCCGTGTGCTACTTTGTCGTGCCGTACCTGGCCGTCCTGCCGTCCTCGAGCCCGGCGCCCGAGGCGGCCTCGGGCCCGCTCGTCTGGCTCGGCATCCTCTTTGTCCTGCTGCTCGCCGTGACGGCGCGCACGTTTACCCTGCCCGCGAGCATCATCATGCTCAACAACTGCAGCCCGCACCCGAGCGTGCTCGGCACGATCCACGGCCTCGGGCAGAGCGTGTCGGCGGGCTTTCGCACCGTGGGGCCCGTCGTTGGTGGCTGGTGGTACGGCTATGGCTTGGATATTGGCATGGTCGCCTGGGGATGGTGGGGAGTGGCGATTGTGTCGGCCATTGGATGCCTCACGGCGCTGCGCATGTACGAGGGGAGCGGCCACGAGGTGCGTCTAGAGGAGGAGGAGGCGGAGGAGGAAGAGGAGGAGGAACCGATATAGTGTATGATTATGTGTAGAGAGAAATGTACATAGATGAGCGCCTATAGATTTATAGAAGAAAGGACATACTTAATGACGGACATGTAACTTTTCATTCATCCAAAAGCACTTCAAGTATATTAGTGGATAATATAACGCTCAAGGCCCCAACGCCTATGCTTCCAACTGATTACCCTCTAACTGTAGCGAGGTTTGTAGATCCTCAACTGTATAGTTGCCAATCCGCCTCGGAGCACTTTATCGCAGACGGATTCGTCGCGCGGATGACGCTTTCGACCAACTCCACCGTCATGGCGAGTTTCTTGTAGTCGCACCACATATGCGCCATCTTGTGCACGGTCTGGATGTCACGGCCATTAAGCTGCCAGAGGCTTAACTCGTCAATGCTCGCGTCGCTCGTAATCGACACCACCGCACTCTTGTTCTCATCACCCTCCTTCTGCTTCTGCTCCTGCTCCTCTCTCACCGCCGGCTTGAGGGTCTGGGGCGCGAGACATGAGAGAAAGTTGTGCCATACTTTTTTGCGGGCGTCCCGCGATAGCTCGGAGAAGCGCAGATGGAGGCTGACGCGACTACGAAAAGCCGAGTCAATGGTCTCGTAGAGATTGGTGGTGAGGAAGACGACGCCGCGACAATACTCGAGCTCGCGGAGGAAAATGCTGACGAGCTCGTTGCGGTAGACACTCACGGGGTCGCGCTGGGCCATGAAGACGTCGGCCTCGTCGAGCAGCACGATGCCGTTCCACTCGGCGGCCATGGTGAGGTAGCACCTAAGATACGGGCCGAGCTCGCCGGCCTGAGTGCCTAGGTTCTCGGCCGGCAGGGGCACGAGCGGGCGCCGCGCGCGGTCGGCAACGGCTTCGGCCATGAGCGTCTTGCCAGTGCCAGTTGGGCCGGAGAGCAGAATTACAAGACCCTGGCCCTTGCCGATGATGACGTCCTCGTTGGGGGCGAGCGTGCGCTTGGGCGCCTGGTCCAAGACGGCTTCAGTCGCGGTCGAGCTCGAGTCGCTGGGCGGAGAGCGGGACGCGAAAGACACAGGGGCCGGAGTGGCGCTGGCGAAGCTGTGGCGCTGGACAAAGGATAGGATGAGGTCTTTTTGTGGTTCGTCATAGACGAGGTGCGAATAGGCGGTTTCGTTCCAGATGATGGGCTCAATGTCCTCTATGTAAAACTGGACCCAGAGATTGGTCTTGAGGGCGTAGCCGCCGACGAGGCCGTAGACAAACGGTAGGTCGTCTTTGCGGCGAAGCATCATCTCTTTGTTGCGTTGGCACTGAGACTCGGTAATGTGTCTTCGAAATGTGCAGTTCTCTGGCTGGTTCGCGTTGGCGTCTCTGTCGGACGACGAGTCCGGGTTGGCGTCTGAAAACGATTTGATGGACTCGGCGTCAAAGTCACTGTCGGCCTCGTCCCAGGCGCCGATGCCCCAGTCATCGAGGTCATCTTCGTCTTCGTTGCGGCGCTTTGAAGACCTGCGCTTTGCGCTGCCGCGGCACAGGCTGTTGTCTTTGTACTTTTGGTAGCCGGCAACGTCGACGAGAATGCGGCCCTCGACGTGGTGCTTCACGGGCGTCTTGATATCTTGCCAGTATAGGGCGACCTTGTTGTAGCACCGATACTGCAGATTCTGGAGGTTGAGCATCATATTGCCGCGACGTTGCAGTCGGTCGTATACACCGGCCATATCGGTGTGATGCTTGAAGGGGTAATGGCGAAGCTGCTTGATGGGCTTGTTGCCGGAGAAGCTGTCGAGACGCAGCATCTGGGTTGTCCAGACAAAGCAGTCACCATTGAAGCGAAGGACTTTGACGCCAATCTGAAGATAAGTTTCGCCGGCATCGGAGATATAGTCAGCCTTTGTCACTTTGCACAAGAACTCGGACTCAAGGTCGGTGCTGTAGACAGTAGCTCCACGAGGGAACAGAGTCCAGACAGTAGCAAAAGAAATGAGACCAGAGCCGCCGAGGTTGTTGAGCTTTGTGAGTATGTCTCTGAGGAAAAGATTCATTGTCTTGACAAAGTCTCTGAGGTATGGAGCCAATTCGTCATCCCTCGCCTCTAGGCCATTGCAGAGCTGCTTAATCTCATCCTGGCAGAAGAAGAGCACGTGAAAAGGCGCCTTGAATAATGCGGTCTCGGTTTTGCTAATGTAATAGTCCTGCTTTTTGAAAATCGAAGCGAGCGCGGAAACGACGGCCAGATATCTCACCTCGAAGCTGTGATACTTCAGAGGCACGTGGCCCGAGATGCTCCGTTTCTCATAATCCTTGACCATGAAAATTATGATGGCGGCACCGTCGAGCTCGCGTGCCGTCGCCTTGGAAATTTGCTCCGGCGGATAGTCAACCCAGTTGTAGCCCACGTTTGCTTGCGGACCCTCGTACATGATCTTGATGACGGGCTTGATGACGGGCTCGCCGCCTACCTCTTCCTCATCGGCCTGACTTTGCAAGTCCTTGTCGCGGTCGTTGTCGGCGCTGCGAAGCAGCTTGCAGCGCCACTTCCAGACCAACGCGGAAATGGCATCATTTCTGAGAAATGCACTTCGAAACCCGGAAAGCTGGCCCTGGGCGACGCTCGAGTTGCTTGACGCGATGCTCGGCACCATCCTGTAACCCTGGCGAGCTGTTGGCGTGACGCGGAACATGTAGTGTGTGGCCGCCGTTGAAAGCGTCCGGATCGGCCGTGAAGAGTAGAATACCAAGTGAACGCGTCTCGAAAAATAGAAACGTAATGATGACAAGAGCAAAGAAACGAGCTCGTGTTTGCGAAGGATGTGCGAGGAGAGCAGCAGGATATAGATGCTACTTCAGCTCCCAAGCAGCACCACAGCCCAAGCAGGTGCCTCTTTGCTGCCTTATTTTGCGAATTACACCCCTGCAACCGGTGAAGAAATGCATATTTTACCTCTGGAGTCGCAGCCACACTGAAAAGCCCATTGTTGCAGGCCGCATTGGAGCTTGCAGCGACGGCTGTAGGCAGATCGAAGGAAGTGACTCAGTCAAAGGCGCCGCCTTGCTGCCTGGGCGCTATGAAACCCTTGGCCAGCTTCCATTTCTAAAAACAGCAGAAAACAACATTGCGCAAGTGTTTGAGTGACTTCACATGGTTGGCTGGCAATTCGCAGCGTGCAGAAGAAGTTGATGCTTGGCACCTCAACTGTTGTATGAAGGAAGCATGGTGTTTGCTGGCTGCCTGATGTTGGGAAACAGCGCCGGCCCGTCACAGCTCCAAACGAGACTGACTAAGCACTGTATTGTATTGGGAGCATCTGTGACTCATCACATCTTGTTTGCCCACAGTTTTATTCAATCGTTGTTCCTGATCGTGGTCTGCTTCGCAATGTGAAAAGTTTTGAGTTTGGTGGCTAGCAAGGTTCCAGTTGTAGGGGGCACGGCAATCTGCACATGCACTTGTCCATGATATCAAAGGCTGTTGGCTTAGAATTTTTGCCTCTGTCAGTTTCAAAGGCATTTCAAAGGAGCGAAATCTTGAAATCGGCTCGACCTCTTTTCATTTAGGTGATGTAGCGCCTGCCCGCCTAGATAGTCAAGAAAGGCTCTGTCGCCGCAGCCCTCTGTCATCCCGGCTCTATACGTACTATGGTAGCCGACTTCGCCTCAACATACCACCATGAGTCACTAACCACTCTGAAGAAAAAAAGTCAGGTATAAAAGGCCGTTACTACGAGTTCGAAACTCACGCGAGGAAAAAGTTATACACGGACTTTTCATCACTCGAACCATGGCTGATTTCACTCTATCAAAGCCAAAGTCGGTACTGGCTGAACAGTACAAAGTGCCCGCCGAGCAACTCCACGACGACGAGGTAACACTCCGCCGATGGCATCTCAGTGATGCGCAACGTCTAGTCGAGGCTGCCGAGTCGTCCCTACCCGAGCTCAAGGCCTGGATGCCCTGGGCCGCCCACGGCTACACGCTAAAGGACGCAGAGACGTTTCTCCGCATCACCACCGCCGACTGGGACCGGGGCGCAGATTACAACTATGCCATCTTGGTCAACGAGCAGATTATCGGCTCTTGCGGGCTGATGAGCCCTGCTCGGGGCGACGTCGGTATGGGCATGGGATACTGGCTCGCGACGCCCATGACGGGCCGTGGACTGGCGACAAAGGCCGCTGCGCTGCTTACACGGGCGGCGTTTGACTGCGGCGCGGAGCTGGTCCAGATCTGGCACGCGGTGGGCAATGGGAAGAGTCGTGCTATTCCCGAGAGGCTAGGATATGAGTTTTTGGGAGATTTTGAGGATTTGCAGATTGCGGAGCGTGGAGCAATGGGCCTCTGGCAGAAGGATAGGCTGGTGTGAGCGTAGATGATAGGGCAATGTGACAACAATATTCTTATCTGTGGTAAAATCTACAATCGATTAGAAGCCTTTTTCCTTGGGATTGTTCTCGTCAAAAATAACCTTGTGAGCCTGGCTCACAATGTCAACCATCTGGTGCCTATCCCGTTTCGTCGCCTTCTTAAACAGTCGTCTATATACACGTATACTCTGGGCTGAGAGCAAACTTTCTCTACGTCTGGTTCTTAACCGTGGGCTGACTTGGAACCCGGAATTTCAAATACCACGCTACCATGTCATTTCTTCCTGCAAGTCATCCCAGTCGGTGCCTGGCCCGTTTGGCCGCCGCCCAAAGTACACCGTGGCACGCCCCTGCGCGGGCTCGGTGCAGATATCCACAGAGTGAATGCGCGCCCTCTCCGGAATACCCACCAGCTCGCCATCCCGGAGTCTGTCCAGGTCCAACGACGCGATGCCCTCCTCCTCAATCTGCATGACGCGCTCGCCTATGCGCGCACTGACGACGCCCTCCCAGGCGCCCTCAAAGTCTGGCCCCGTGTACAGCGCCTGGATCGCGCGCCGTCGCGTCACGGGGCATCGGCACTTTGTCGCCGTCAGGTAGAGCGGGTGGATGACGGCCATGTCGAGCTGGAAGCCGCCACTCCCGCTGCCGCCGCCGCTGCCCCCCGAGTAGTTTGGAATCAGTTGTTGCTGGCGCGCGCGAATGTCGGCGGCGAGATTAACCAGCTGGACAAAGTCGCTGGCGTGCGCGTCGTAGATTGTCTCTTCGTGCGAGAGGCAGCCGCTCATGATGACGACGGTTGTCAGGTATTTGATGCGCAGCAGGCTTATTTGCTCTGGCAGCATCTTTTCGCGCTTGCTGTTTGGCGCGAGATAATGCTTGCGAAAGGCTTCGAGGCTGCTTTTGATGCTCTGCGCTTGTGCGGCGACGGCGGCGGGCACCGGGCCGTCGACTTGGTTGTAGCGATAGTCGTCGGCGACGGTCCGTATAAAGGTCCATGCGCGGCTGATGAGGCCGGCGAGCGCGTGGTCGGCCTCTTGGTACACTGAATCAAAGACAAAGATGCGGGAAGCCAACCGCGATGGATCCAATGCAGGTGGGCGGACACCTAGGAATATCGCTGCTTGAAGATCGAGACGCGCGAATGCTGTTGTTATGGCCTCGTCGACTAAAAAGGATCATCATATCAGCCCTCCCCCCCCAACCCCCGGTCACCGACTAATGAAGATGACTGATAAAACTTACCGGAATGGAGATTTGAAGTTACTACTTGCAGACCATGCTCGAGATGGGTGAGGGCTGTAGCGGGGTCTTTTATTCGCAACTCAAAGCATATACACAGCAGCGTGCAGAGAAGCGCCGTGTTGATGGATCGCTTATCGTTGTGGCGAAAGACGTGGCGCATCGCCTCGAGCGCTTTCCCGTAATGGCGCAAGGCAAACTCGTTTTCGCGGGACGCGCCGTTGGACTGCGGCGACTGCGCCGCCATCGAGGCCGTCGTGCCGTGGCAGCCGCCGGCGCCGGCGCCGTTGTCGCTGCCGGCATCCCCCCCGTGGACGCCCGACGTGCTCAGGGCGGTAAAGGCGACGACGGCGTGGCACAGCGCAACCTCCTCGTGGACGGCCTGCAGAATCAGGCGCTTCCAGGAGGGCGTGCCGACGTGGCCGACGATGCTGTAGACGAGCTCGTGGCGAAACAGGTCGAGGTGGGCAATCTCCTGGGGCGTCAGCCAGCCCGTCTGCGTCGGGCGAAAGTGCGTCAGCGTGAGGGGCGCGGTAAAGGTCAAGCCGCCGTCCTTGTTGGCGGGCTCGGCGACGCCATCGCAGCGGCGACCAGACTTGGTGCAGTTGTTGCAGACGGGCGACGTTTCGTCGCAGCGAATCTTGCGGACTCTGTGTGGTTTTTGGCCGCGACGCAAAAGTGTTAGCAGGCTTGCAGGCTGCCGGGTGATTTTTTTTTTCTTTTTTCTTTCTTTTTGGGTGCGAGTTCTTCTTTTTCTTTTTTTTTTCTCTAGCAACAAAGGATCACACTGACTTGCACGTCTTGCACCCCAGCTTTGTTTTTGAGTAGCGCTTTTTGGTAACGGCTGAAGCCATGACGTTGAGGCCTGCTGCCATGGTGGCCTGCTGTGTGGGTGATTTGGGTTTTGCGCGGCTGCCACGCCTCGACCCGTCGGCGGCGGTTTTGCTGCTCATGGCGGGTTCGCTGCTAGTATCGTATATCGTATATCGTATGTGGTAAATGCTATTATTGTGTTGTTAGAGTTGCCATCTATAGATCTGGTTGCTTGTGAAAGGCGGCAAAAGAAGACACGGAAACGGTAGATGAAAGGCGATCAAGGATGTACAAATTCAAAGAAGACACAAGTGAGACTAGAAACGAAAAGGAAAAAAAAAAGAAAAAAAAGAGAGAGAATCACAGATGGCGAGAAAGCGCCACTTTAAGGACAGCCAAGCCCACTTTCGGTACGTGAGGCTGAAAAGTTGCTGAACCTGACGATTGAATGGGGTGTGGTCATTCAGTTGTCGCTCATCGGACGCCTCGACCGACCCATCATGTTCTAGAGTTTTTCCTATTGTCCGCCATCCTGGCTCCCCCATCGCATCTCGGGGGTTGCATCGCATTGGACAGGCTCGTGCCGGCCGGCAATCACAGAGTCGTATCATGCCCACCCCCATGGGCGGAATGGCTCAATCAACTGGACGGCCGTTGCTGCCGGGGGGTGGAGGAGGAGTCAGGGAGGCGGAAAAAAGTTACGATGCGCCCCGAACGGAATTGACGGGGGGGTCCAAGTCAAAAGCTTGACTTGACTGTCGGAGCCCTTTTCAAGCTTTGCTTTCCGTCCCCTGATTACGATTTGCCCAATGAGCCGAGCCATACGAACACAGTGTCACCACATTCGAGACCACCCCCCTTCCCCTCCCCCGCCCGTCCCGCTTTGTTTAACGTGGTGGTTATTCTTATGCTAAACAGTGCCCGCCTCAAGCTGATTAAATACGGTTGTTAGTAAAAGTAAGGAAACATGCATCATGTCTATTATTGCCTGCCGCCGAGAAACTTTGGTCGCACAGCACGCAGGCTTCCATGCAAACGCTGGCGCAGGTTACCAGTCTCCATCTCTTCTCATCCAAGCTTCCATCGTGTCTTCTACGCAAGCCACTTTTCATAACCTGCCCACCCCCCCTTGGCCATCTATCTGTGGCATGCCCAAGGTGTGGCGCCGGGCAGTCTCACTGCTTGCAGTTCAGCCCCAGAACCGACGCCGGCGCATTGGCTACTTGGTGCGTGATAGGGCTACCCTGTTGTGGTGGTGTACAGACGCTTTACTGATACAGCAAGGGAGGGGGGGGGGCAGCAGCGAGAAGCGAGTCGACTTTTCAGCTGTCACGACTCACACTCACAGATTCCGTTTTCTCACTGATTCACTCCAGAAAACCCCCCAATCTGCTTTCCGTCTGGGAGCGGAGCAATTCCGTCCTTTGAGATGATGGGTGCAGCCGATGCTAGCGTCGGCCGAGAAGGGGACCATCTGCCCGTCGTCCTAAATTTAAAACAACTTTGACATGAGATCCCGCGACGATATCTTCTATCCGTTCCTCCCTCAATTTTGGAGACTCTACAATGCTACCAACTCGAAGCCGTGTACCGAGAAGTCGGTCTGTCGCCATGCAGGCGCCCGTGTTACCGCTCACTGTGTGCTGCGGGCGGGCGCGCGCGCGACCTTTACAGCGCCAGTGAATGCCAGGCTGCCACGGTAGCAATGTCAGTTCAAAAAGGAAAAAAGAAGAAGAAGTTTCAAGAATCAAGAATCAAGAGTCAAGTGAAGAGCTGCTCACAAACAAACATCAACACCGATACGTGTCGCGGTTTGTCTGAACGATAACTAAAACAGGTTCTCGCTGCCAAAGACGGCTTCTTTCACAGCCCCCGTGCAAAAAAAGAAGGCGTCGCGTTGGCAGAAGTCCCTTGTTTCCTCTTGCTGCACTCTTTGAAGCCCTGATCGCGTCTGGAAACACGGGTTCTATTTACTCTTACAAAAAGTACGGCATCCGGGTAGACGTCAGTTTGCCCGCGCTGCTTGCTTGATTCACACATGAATCTGCGAGATATTACTTTAGCCGGCGTGGGCAGCAGCCTCTGCGTCTGGTCTTTTTCACTTGTCACCCTCCAACTACAAAACTTGCTGGCCTCACTCGGTATCAGTTGCTCTCTTTTTGCTCTCGGTTGCTTTCTTCTTGCCCTCTTTTTGATATGCTTTTGCCAATATTGATATCCATCTCGAAATAGCCGGAGCATTGAAGAGACGCCAAAGTAGTCTTACACGCTCAAAAGAAGAAACGCAGAAAGAAAAGAAAAAAAAGAGAGAGAAAAAAAGGGAGAGAGAAAAAAAGAAGAAACTAATACAACAGTACATAACCAGAGAACAAAACGACCAAGTCATGTCTTTTTTTGACAAGGGCGTTGATGGGGCCTTGCCAGCCGGAAGCTCCGATTCAAGTGGCGATGCAACTCGCAGACCAAAATCTCCAACCAGTCAGGTCATTCCACGAATTGGCCGTCCGACTCCAAGCTTTCAATTTCCTCGACTTGGTTCCAACGCCGTTCACCATGGTGAGGGCGGAGCTCTTTCACAACTGAATCTCCGCCGGATTTGGGAAGATGCCAATCGCTCAACGCAGCAACATCAGCAACCGCAGCAGTATCATACGAGCACCATGCTACATGCCGTGTGTCCCGACTCACTGAACAGCTTCAACGACGCGTCCACGACCACGCATCGTAGGATGGCGGCGGCTCCGCACGAGCAGGCTCTCGCTGCGTACGTCGGGCCAGACGTCCGCGACTCGGACGCCGGGCTGGAGAGGCCGGCACATCTCTCCATCTGGTCCCCCTACGGCGCTCAAACAGCTCACGACAAAAACAACAACAACTCTGTGCGAGATGGCGGCATCGCGCCAACGTTGAGCCCGTACTCGGCATATTTCGCCGCACCGCCATCTTCTACCAGAGCCGACGCGGTACCCAACCGCTCGCACTCTGAAGCCGGCTTCAGCGCCTCGACAGAGTTGTCTATGGCTCAGCGGCCCTTGACCTCGCATATCGCCCCCATCATACCCATCCGGATGGGACAGTCTCCAGGCAGAGCTCCTGGCAACCGAATAGCCAGCGGCGCCGATGCGCACCAGCCGCCCGTGCCCTTTTATTTCCAGCCGCGCAGTCAGCGCTTTCTCCCTATGCAGGCCATCAGGCCCAACCGGGGCACGTTTGCATCGTCGTCTGAGAGCGCATCGCCTTGGGCGCCGAGCGTCAGCGTCGCCAACCCGGTGCCGTCGACGCGCTTCTCAGACCGGTACCACGGCATGCACACCGAGTCCAACGCCAGCGCCGAGCACCTGACGCCGGAGCAAAACACCAGCCTGTGGATCACCAACCTGCCGCCCGACACGACGCACCACGAGCTGCTGGGCCAGATCCGCAACATTGGCCGCGTCTGGTGCTGCTTCATCAACGGGCCCGACGGCTGCAAGCACACCACGGCCGCGGCCAAGGTCGTCTTCTTCCGCCCGTCTGCCGCCCGTCGCCTGCTGCAGCACGCTGCCGCCCCCGACGGCGGCCTGCACATTCGCGGCTTCCGCGCAAAGGTTACGCATAACCGCATCAAGACGGGCGAGACGGAGCCGCGCGGCGACGAATCGCGCGTCCTCATCGTCACCGGGCATAAAGACTACATCAACGAGGCCACGCTCACAGAGTGGTTTGCCGATCGCTTCGTGTTTCAGCTCGACGAGGTAAGGCAGCTCGTCAAGGATGAGGAGAGTCGCCTCGCGGTCGTCGAGTTTCGGTTTGGCAGCTACCGCTGCCAGGCGCAGATGGGCAAGCTGTCTCTCGAAAAGGAGAGGGAGTGGTGGTTTGAGAGGGCAGAGTTTGGCGAGGACCCGTGTGAGGTGGGCGAAACGTACTCGGCGTATGCTGTTGCGTCGCAGCGCATTGAAGAAGTGAAACAGTCGAGGCAGGAAAGGCAGCAGAAAGAAGCAGAGGAAGAGGCGAGACTGGCACTTGAAAGGTTGGCATTAGAAAGGTCCTATCGGCGGCAAGCAAACGACGGCATTAGAGATTGATTTTTACAAGCTGCAATTTGTCTTTTTTTTTTTTTTGGATGACACAATTCGACATTTAGGGCACACATAGACAGGACTAACATTGATCAGGGCACAAGCCCAAAGCATGGTTTAATGTAACTAGAAATTGCAGAATTTGGTTTTGACATTAGACAGGAATTTCGTACATTATCAATTAATCGTTCAATCTGTCAACAACTCGCCCGGACTGCTTAGTGCAGAAAAAGCACCAATATTCAACGGCGCTTATCATCTTAAGCGTGGCATAAACTCAATCGTCAAAGTACGATACACCCTCATGTAGACTTCAAACGTGCTTTAGCACGGAAAACAGTTGCAACCGGTGGCCAACATCACCGGTCGAGGGGTAACATCGATGGGTATGGCTGTAGAAATATTTCATGTAACACTGGCCTCAAAGACGCATTGAATTTAACCGTGATAGAACCATGAGCTCTAACGAACATGATTGCTTATTTTAGTACACCTTTCTCGTTACACCTGGCAGGCTACAAGGCCGCACGGCGATACTTTGGAGCGGGAGTGGAATCCAACCAAGTCTGAAGGAGCAGCAACCCAGACTTCACAAAAAAAGGCACACTTTGCATAAAAAAAAAACACTACATCCAATACCATGGCTGGGGCTGGGCTGTATCCCTGCAAAAGAAAAATCTTTCCAGAGTTCAAGGACGTCAAGACCTCTGCGGGTTTGCATCGCAATCCACTTACAACAAGCCTCAAAAGCCATTTTGTAGGTATGCCAGACTTGTCGCCATCAGTGACTATCATCCGAAAAAGCAAAACTGGAATCCAATGGAAAAATACAAAATCAATTAAGCGGATCGATGCATTCTTTTTGACTTTTGAGAACACATTGTGGCTGCGATACAATGGTCATGCAGTCTTCAAAGGCACAACTCTCCTCGTAATGTCGTGGTTCACATTGCACTTAGCTACATGACCGTATTCCTGAACTACCTTTGTTCGTCGAGAACCAAGAATATGCGGTATTGGCCGTACGAATGTGCGAGCTGATTTCATTGGCGCTGGTGAGGAAGGTGTGGCTGATGTCAGGAGGGAAGGCACAGAGTCAGTACAAGGTGAGCCCAGGGTCTTGAGTCGGTCAAGGAACATGATTAGTGAATGATGATAAAGTTATATTACAAGTCTAGTGTACAGGAATCTACCTAAGTCGATGAATGCTGATGCAGCTACAATACAAATCATTCCCATGAACATATGATGGACCTCGGGCAGAAAGAATGTGCCCCTCCCCCCC